ATTAGTTTAGTTATTTATTAAACTTATGTCTATTTCTTGCTCATGCTTAAGGCTTATCAGAGTTTTGAATAAATAAATTCCCACATATACTCAATTCTTATTGAGGGCCGGCACAAGTTGTCATATTTTGATAAACATCTGGTGATGAAAGGAAAGTATAATAAATAATGATTTGCCAGGTTGGCGTCAGATCAACGATGTATATATGTGGAATGTTTCAGTTTGAGATATGTGTCAAGCAGATATGCAGCAACAGAGACAACTTACTGATCGTACAAATTAATGCTAAAATGATTGTTTCTTCAATAACAAGGTATTTTATTTAGTGTCAAAGTGAAATTAATAATTGAGACTCTTCAGATGTTTTATTATGTGCAGAGGGAGAATCAAATGCACATGCGTGAAGCCTACAAGAAAAAACGTTGTTGGTGGTTTTGAGGTCCGGATTTTAGATCATTCCAAATAATGGACATCCGGATTTCAGACTTTGTACCGTACATATATATACTATAAAACTTTCTAAAACATCCTTCTGTATCTATTTGATCTTTCATATAACAAATTCATTATTTTAAAAAATTTTATAGGGTGTAGACCACTCCAGCTTTTTCAAGACGACAGTTATGAAGTTAATCGTAATCTCATTTTCTTGTAAAATTTCAGTAAGAAGAATTATTTCTTGTTTTTTATGTTGAATTTCTGTGCAACACCTTTTTAATTCTGGTAATTTTATTAAACATTGTATTTGATATAATTTTTTAGAGATGTATTCCAATTTATAAGTTTAATTGTAGAAAAATTAAATTCTTTTCTTTACAAATAGTCTTATTTAAGATTATATGTTCTTCTAAGATCTAGATAATCAACAATTAATTGATTTTTGTCTTGTTAGTTTTTAGAAGTTGGAGTAGATGTTACTAATTTCATTAAGATCTTATTGTTGAAAGTAATAATACATCAATATACCTGAAAGTGTGTTCACATTTTTCGAAATCACTTCTGAAGGTTTCTTAAGAAATTTATATTCTTTAGAAAAAAACTGAGGTTACGTAAGTGAGTTTGAATAAGAACTTCTTATTTTATTCTAAGTCACTATGGTAATCCCATGACATGAAGACTGCTATTCTCTTACCTTTGTTTCTTTTTTCTGTTTTATTACTGTTTGCTTTAGCAAAGTTAAAAAAGAATAAGTAAATTACTTGGTTTTAATTCACATTTTGGGTGATTTCTTCTTGCCATCACCAATTTGTTTCCAACAAACTGGCAACCATTGGCATCCACTTTTGAATCTTCATCTTTTGTTACAAAACGGTAGGTTGTGGTGCTTTCAATCCTTTGTTAGTTTTATATTATATATAGTTTCATATTTCATATTTAAGTTTATTTTATTCAGTAAAGCTAAAGCATGTTTAATAATTATTATTTCCTTTACTCAAATTATTACATAAGATTTTTTTTTGTACTATTTTATTACATTTGGGAATCACTGCATTGGGGAGGTATTCAGTATTTTTCTGGGTGAAAATGTTTTAATTAAAATACTTCAGAATGGTTTCATTAGCTAACTTAACAGAAATGGATTAACAGAAACGCAGTGATTTTCCAAGGCGAGTGATTTTCCCCTTACATCTGATCTACCTCCTCTTGATAGGGATGAATCAATATTACTTGCGTTCCTCTGCCTATATACTTTTTATTATTCTGTATTTCCTTTGTCTGTCTTTCTATGGTTTGATGACTATTGATTGATTTTTTATATTTATTGATTTGAATTTCTTTCATGTCCTTGTAGATTTTTTTCTAAATTTCTTTCTTTTGTATGTATATATATATATATATATATATATATACCATATATATATATATATATATATACACACACCCACACACGTACTTAACCACAGTCTGTTACCCAGCTCAGTGAGCTCAGTTCATATAAAATTTCATTATTTTAAAAAATTTTATAGGGTGTAGACCACTCCAGCTTTTTCAAGACGACAGTTAATGAAGTTAATCGTAATCTCATTTTCTTGTAAAATTTCAGTAAGAAGAATTATTTCTTGTTTTTTATTGTTGAATTTCTGTGCAAACCTTTTTAATTCTGGTAATTTTATTAAAAATTGTATTTGATATAATTTTTTAGAGATGTATTCCAATTTATAAGTTTAATTGTAGAAAAATTAAATTCTTTTCTTTTATCAAATAGTCTTATTTAAGATTATATGTTCTTCTAAGATCTAGATAATCAACAATTAATTGATTTTTATTTGTCTTGTTTAGTTTTAGAAAGTTGGAGTAGATGTTACTAATTTCATTAAGATCTTTATTGTTGAAAGTAATAATATCATCAATATACCTGAAAGTGTGTTCACATTTTTCGAAATCATCTTCTGAAAGGTTTCTTAAGAAATTTATATTCTTTAGAAAATAAACTGAGGTTACGTAAGTGAGTTGAATAAGAACTTCTTATTTTATTCTAAGTCACTATGGTAATCCCATGACATGAAGACTGCTATTCTCTTACCTTTGTTTCTTTTTTCTGTTTTATTACTGTTTGCTTTACAAAGTTTAAAAAAAGAATAAGTAAATTACTTGGTTTTAATTCACATTTTGGGTGATTTCTTCTTGCCATCACCAATTTGTTCCAACAAACTGGCAACCATTGGCATCCACTTTTGAATCTTCATCTTTTGTTAGCAAAACGGTAGGTTGTGGTGCTTTCAATCCTTTGTTAGTTTTATATTATATAGTATATTTCATATTTACATTTAAGTTTATTTCAGTAAAGCATGTTTAATAATTATTATTTTCCTTTACTCAAATTATTACATAAGATTTGTTTTTGTACTATTTTATTACATTTGGGAATCAACTGCATTGGGGAGGTATTCAGGTATTTTTCTGGGTGAAATGTTTTAATTAAAATACTTCAGAATGGTTCATTAGCTAACTTAACAGAAATGGATTAACAGAAACGCAGTGATTTTCCAAGGCGAGTGATTTTTCCACTTACATCTGATCTACCTCCTCTTGATAGGGATGAATCAGATATTACTTGCGTTCCTCTGCCTATATACTTTTTATTATTTCTGTATTTCCTTTGTCTGTCTTTCTATTGGTTTGATGACTATTGATTGATTTTTATATATTATGGGGAATTTTATATTTATTGATTTTGAATTTCTTTCATGTCTTTGTAGATTTTGTTCTAAATTTCTTTCTTTTTGTATGTATATAGTATATATATATATATACATATATATATATATCACACACACACACACACACGTACTTACACCAGTCTGTTACCCAGCTCAGTGAGCTCAGTTTTTTTCCCCTTATATGTTGGAAAATTGTGCATTTTTTGCTCAAAAAGTGATTCAATTATGTCATTGTTTATGTCGCAGTTAAGGTTTTTGTGCCTTTAGTTAATCTGCATGCAATAGTTATAGAATTATGAACAATTTAAAAGTTGTTTTTTAAGCCTAATAAAGCAGCCATTTGTTTACATTTTGAAACTCTTAGTAGAATAATGAATTAAGTCAGTTTGTGCATGAACTTCAGCATTGTTTGCTGAATGGGACCAAAAGTAAACTTCCGCTTTTGTACACACAGAAAAAAAAAAAAAAAAACTATCCTCCTACCTGCTGGTCGAATTGCTTATTTTTGCATAGAAATTCTTAACTTAAATCATACTTTTTTAAACTGTATTTGGTGTTTTATGTTTTTTTCTGTATTTTACAATTTTCAATGAAGACATTTTGAGTTTTTACGTATTTTTGCCTTGCCGCAAAGTGAAAACTGAATTAATTGAATGAGAAATATACGTCTAATAAAATATGAGGAAATAATAAATAAATAAATGCAGCAAGTGTGTATAATTTAGTTGGCCGTACGAAGAAGTCATGAGGTGTCTACATCAGATTATACTGTACTGTTATAAGATGGTATAGTTATATAGTTGCAGCATAGTTGGCATACAATTAATTCCTTCTATTACCATTTTATTTATCTATTTTTCCTTATATGAGAGGAAAAAATATGACAAGTTGAGGTTAAGATAAGTGTGTTTTTGTTAAAGCAGCCTTTGGTGACATTTGAAATTTGTATGTTACAGATTATGTGATTAAGTTTACCATGTTTGGTGAATAAATGCAATGGCTACTTAGCAAAGAAGTATTAAGATTTTTATATAAAGAGAATACATGTATGAAATTTTCTTCCAAATGAGCATTGATTAAATCCAAAATTCAATCCGTGTACAATTCCAAAGGTAAGGTCAGTTGTATACAACCTCTAATCTATTGAACATGTTTTTCTGTAACAAAGAACATGGTAAATGTTCATTACTATGCACTTTAATAAAAACCAAATGATAGAAATTATTATTATTTCAAATTTTTATAAAATATGAACCATTCTGTTTGCAATATGGTATAAGAATTTTGATACCTATGAATTTAAACACTGACCCACCCCCTAAAAAAACTGTATTAAACTTAAAATGCCCTCCAATTTTGATGATAATTGAATGAATGCCCTTATATGACCCAATACTGATGCATTTATCTATTAATCTTATATATATATATATATATATATATATATAAGTACTAATTCAGATTGACTTCTGAATTAGTATTTATTTGGCGTGTTATTGTGTCTTAAATATATATAAGTCATTAGATGGCCATACTTTGTTTAATCTGAATAATATAAAAGCAATGCAAAATTGATAAAGGAAATTTTATATTTAAGAGAAATAAACAAAGATAGCAACAGTTACTTTTACACACTTTTAACACAAGTTCTCCATCCTGAGCGTAGATTGATGTTATATTTTACGTCTGAATACAGTTTTTCTTCATATGAATATATGCATCACAGCAAATTTTTAGTTAAGATTATATCCATGCTGTTTTATGAATTTATAATATATATTTTTATATTACAAACATGTGTTACATTCAATTTTAAACATGTTTTTTCTCCCTTTTTAGAATAAGTGATGCATTTGACACTATTAGATTACTGTACATTTTACATCCAGAATTAAAACTTTTTGAAAATATTGATGAAGTAAATGAGTTGGAATTTATTCAGGTATTCTTTTATATTTTCATATTTAAAAAATAAGTTATATTTGTAGAAACACTATAAACATACAATTATAACCTTTCATCAAGCTTTTTTCAGGAAATTTGGAAGACCACCTACTGAAACAAAATTAATTTTAAATCTTACGTTTTAAAAAAATTTATATAATTTTTTATTAAGCATATTTTTAATATTTATATAGGTAATCCATAAATATTATTATTATATGTGTGTATATATACATGTGTGCTTATTGATAGTTTATTATAAATTGGTAGTTTTTGAAGTTTATATATAGAGAGAGACAAAAATAAGAAATTTAGAACCAAATTCATGAAGACTCAAAAGAAATTAAATTCAATGCCAGTAAAATCCAAAATTCCCATAAATATGTAAAAAATGAACCTATTGTCACCAAACAACAAGAATTGCCATAAACTACAGATATTTAAAGTACAAAAAATATATAGGAAGAGAAAGCACTCAAATTCTGATTCAACATTATCAGAGCTTCAATATAATCCTCCCCTAGGAAAACCATTGCATTTCTGTTTATCCAAAATTAGCTGATGGACCGTTCTAAATTATTTAATTATAACAGTTCATCCAAAAATTTGGAATGCCTCCTCTACACAGGGGAATCCCAAAAATGAAATGAAAATATACAAAAATAAATCCATATGTAATAAATTCAATGTCCAATAAAACAAAAGAGACTGCTTTATTGGACAATTTTTTATTTGACTGAAATTAAACTCAAGTAAGTCAGTAAACTCAGTCAAGCTTTATTTGACTGAAATTAAACTCAAGTAAAGTGTTGTTCAATTTACTATACAATGGATGAGGAACATCTTACATTGTTGAAAAAGCATCATAAACCTGATGGCATAAATAAATATCTGAGGAAACGTTTTTTTAAAAAAACAATTTTCATTCACTTATTTGACTTGAGAGTTTCTCATTTACCTTCTGTAAGAAACAAGTGTATCTTCAGAAGGATGTGCCCCATAGTTTAAGGATTACTATAATAAAAAAAAAAACTAGTTTAGTGTTAATACTGATGATAAGCATTCACTTGATGAGAATGTTCAACATGTAAATAAAGAGGGGGAAATGGCATATATTAGCTAAGATCTTTTACAATGAAATCATAGGGATTATTCTAGTTCACTTTACTGTCATGGAATTTTCAAATAAGGAGGGGGAGAATTCTTTGAGACAGTTACTATAACTTTTGAGTAATGTCCCTCTTGACATTATTATGCCTTAATACCCATATCATTTGTAGTTATAGTGGGAAATGTTTTAGGTAAGATTGCTCATATTAGTTTGATTAAGCATATGATAAGCAGAGCTATACATAGGAACTAGTAAAATTGGTTCTTGTGGCTTTAATGTCTTAATTTCTGGTAGTGGACATTGGATAAAATGAAGGTGATTCTTAAAGCTGTTGCTATTCCATTGCCATAAATTTGATGATGATCAGTACTTATAATTTAGTACACTTGATCCTTACATTTTTTACTTAAACATAAATATAGGAAAAAAGTGATGAAAAAAAAAAAAAGCATATATCCAAAACCAATGTCTTTACTGCACTGTGGTTTATATAATTGAAAAGAATTACTCAAACAATTTTAGTACACTTCTATGTGAACACCATTTTTGGCTTGGGCTATGTCTAACTGATATGCATTTCACACATGCAGCAGCATCAGTGGTGAGACTAGTTCTATTGCCTCCAGAATTTGGGCACAAAAGTCTGCAACTTCAGCCACAGATATTAGATGCACTCTTTCCTTCACACACCCCCCCACACAAAAGCAAATCTGAAAGGAAATGTAATGTTAATTTCGACATAATCAAATCGTTAGTTTCACTTTGGAATTTTTGACACGAGTTGGAGCTTTTTCTATAGAGGTTGCCAAGGTATTGTGCGAATTGCCATGTGTGTATTGCCATGAAAGATCAGTTTCATCAGCATTGTAAATTTGTCCTGGAGATAACGTTTCACTATTAATGAGTTCAATGAATTTATCTGCAAATAGTTCAGCAGCTATAGTATCAGATGAAGCTTTTTCACCTGAAATTTTTAATTGCATTATATCATGGCAAATTAAAATTTTTTTTAACTAATCTGTCGAATATGAACACTTAGTTTTTAAGTTCATTTCTTCATGAAATATTTTGGCTTGAGCCATTAGTATTGGACCTGTCAAAGGCAGACGCTCTCGCTGCGTCTCTGTCTGACCATTCAGTCATCACTTTTAGCATAGGGGATAATTTTTCTGTTATTCATTGCAAGTGGGGTGTCAGAATCCACAAAAAATTCATAAAGTTCCTTTTTCTGTTATGACATATGCAGTTGACTTTCCAATGCCATACTCCTAGTACAATTTTGAGATGGATATACCTATGGCCATTTTTTGCAGCAATTCCACTTTTTGTTTTATGGACATTGACACATGCTTTCGCTTTGTAGATCCTGTTGCAGTCCCAGAATTAAAAAAAAAATTTCGACATAATCGAAATGTTAATACAGTCAAAAGTCTTTAATCCAGACTCGTCGGGACTTCGGCGATTCCAGATTATAGATCATCAATTTAAATCTGGTAAAATATATCTGAAAAAATGCAGAAATTATAAAACCGTAATTTATGAAATAAAGATCAATTATGATCTAAAGGGTATCAAAATTTACAAAAAAAAAAAAAAAAAAAAAAAGCTTAATATTTATTTGTTTACTTTATTAAACATTTCTTTTAATGCGTGCATGCGTAAAGCATACATTACGCATAGTCGAAATTAGAAAATTGCAACCAGAAAACTATTCATGTGTATTCATGATATTTATAATGATGAGGAATTTGATTTAAATCATATCAAAGTCGGAGTACATCGAGATGAAATACTACATTTAGTAAGGAATTATAAGCCGAATAAAATAAAAACATCTGCCCTGAAGATAAGGCTAGTGCTGACAGATCAACTTCCAGTTAAATGCGCGCTGCGACGTGACCCCCTTCCCAGCAGAGCATCGTGAAATTGATAAACAGATTTCAGAATGGTTAGAGAAACAAAGGATATGCCTTTATCCATTTTTTGCAGCAATTCCACTTTTTCTTTGATGGACATCGAAACATGCTTTTGCTTTGTAGATCCTTTGGCAGCTCCAGAATCGGAAATTCTCTTTGACATAATCGAAAGTTCAAGCTTACCTTTATAAAATTGCTCTAACAGTCTGCAAAAAATAATAAGCCGGATGCAATTAGAAGATTAAGGAACAGTGCAATCTGCAACATTAACTGAGATAATTAGAGCTTAGCTTATACCATCTGTTGTACATTAAACGCGCATGCGTAAAGGTATTATGCATTTACGCATGCGCAGAAAGTTTGTAGCTTTGAGGTCCGGATTTAAGACTTTTGACTGTATATATTTTAATCGACATAATCAATTTTATGAAAACTAAAGTTGAAATTTTAGTTTTCATAAAATTGCTGTATAGCCGGCAAAAATAATAAGCTAAATTAAATCAAAGTTAAGGAACAGTGCAATCTCATATTATCTGAAATAATTATCTAAATAATTAATTCCCATTAAATTTTATCTTGATTATACTGCACACTGAGCCAATTAAGCCTGAATTGTATTAATTTAGTTACTTATTATACTTAATGTTTAATTCTTGCACATGCTTAAGGCTCATCTAAGTCCTGAATAAATAAATTCCTACATAAGCTTACTGAGGTCCGGTGCTAGATACTCGTATTTTGTCACCTGATTTTGCTCCCAAGCACCTTCCTATGCTATAAATTTTTGCTCCCCTTAATTTTGGGTCCCTGGTTTTCCCAAAATTCTACAAATTTTATCATCCCTTGATTTTGTTACTTGGTGCATCTCTAAATGCCAGAAATTTTGTCTTCCCTAAATTCTGCTGCCCAGTATGACTATACAAGCTCTGGCACCGGTTCTGGGTTTATGTGGAAAAAAAATCAGTTATTCTGAATTCAAATAGTACTAAATGTAATCTTTTGGCTCATAAGTATCATTAACAAAATGTATTTTTAGCATATGAAAAGAAATTTTTGTTAAATTTTTTCTCGTCAACCTTTAGCGCATTTAACTTAAATCTGTAATCATCACCAAGCATGTCAACATAAAAGGTTTCCATATTCTTTGTTATTCAATTACTAATATAAAAAAAAAATGTTTAGGCATCACTGCATGAGTCATTATTCAAGTTACAATGTGTTGATAAACACGCGGTGATGAAAGTAAAATATAACAAGTAATGATTCACCAGGTTGGCATCAGGGATATAAAATATCGGGTCAGTCCATAAGTTCGTGTGCATTAAGAGTATGCGTGGAATTCACTATGATGCATTTACTAAAACAATACAATTTTGAACCTGCTGAAACTTGTCATTGTTTGACTAACATATATGCATGGAATTCGCTATGATGCATTTACTAAAACAATACAATTTTGAACCTGCTGAAACTTAGTCATCGTTTGACTAACATATTATTCAGTTCATCACCAACTTTCGTAAATATCGAACGCATTTTAGTACCCATAGAAGATAAATATAGAATCAGTACAAACGTGCTGTGCTACATTTTTTATTTTCGTGTGGTGCAGCAATAAAAATTAATAGTGTGCATGGTGAACACACTATTAGTGTAAGGACTGCCCAGAAATGGTTTCAAAAATTTTAAGTTGGGAAAAGCAGCATGGATGATGAACCCTGTTCAGGACGTTTTGAACTATTAGAACCAAATCAAATGATTAATTCAGAAGTTTATAGTGAAGAACTTTGCCGTCTAAATGCAGAATTGATCAAAAAACACCCACGATTGGTGAATATCAAGAAAGTGTTGTTTCATCATGATAACACTAGACTGCATATGGCTCAAACAACGCTGCAAAAAACTAGTGAATTTAATTGGGAGCTTTTGCCACATCCTGCTTACTTCCCAGATATTGCCCCAAGTGATTTT